CACCTCCCCTCGCCCCCCCCCTCACTCACCCAACACCCTCAGCGCCACCCTCCCTTCGAAGCTTCCCAGCGGGAAGGTGATGAGGTGACACTCGTAGTCCCCCTCGTCGCCTTGCACGGCGTTGCGCAGCACGATGCCTCCGTCCTCCAGCGCCCCGTCCCCCCTCCGCCGCACTCTGCCCACGTAGGCGTCCTGCACGTGCTCGCCGTGCCGCAGATCCAGCACCGCCACCTCCGCGCTGCGCCCCGACGCGCTGCGCTTCAACCAGGTCACCTGCACCACCTGCTCCCCCTCCTGCGCCCGGTACCGGCACGGCAGCACCGCGTCCTGGCCCAGCACCGCCGTCACGCTGCGCTGCACCTCCACCACGCCGCCGTCGCAACCTGCGGGCGGGGGGAGCGAAGATGGGCACCGATGTGAGCGCTCCGTGCAGCGCTGGGTGCCATTTGGCATCGCGGTGCGTGGTTGTGCGTGCTTGGTGCGTGATTTTGCATCATTATGTGTGGCTGTGCATGCTTGGTGCATGCTTGGTGCATGATTTTGCATGGTTGTGCATGGTTGTGCACACCTCCTCATGGTTGTGTGTGCTTGGTGCATGCTTTGCACGTCCTTTGCCCATGGTTGTGCATGCTTGGTGCATGATTTTGCATCATTATGAGTAGCTGTGCATGCTTGGTGCATGCTTGGTGCATGATTTTGCATGGTTGTACACGCCTCGTGGTTGTGCATGCTTGGTGCATGATTTTGCATCATTATGTGTGGTTGCTCATGCTTGGTGCATGGTTTTGCATGGTTGTGCATGGTTGCGCATGCCTTCTCATGGTTGTGCATGCTTGGTACATGCTTGGTGTGTGATTTTGCATCACTAGGTGTGGTTGTGCACACTTGGTGGGTGCTTTGTGCATTCTTTGTACACAATTTTGCACAACTGTGCGTGACTGTGCATCATTTTGTGCCTTGCACTCAATGCACAATTTGCACATTCTGTGTACATGATTTTGCATGGTTGTGCATGCTCAGTGCACGCTTTGTGCACAATTTTGCATTATTAAGCGTGGCTGTGCACACTTAGTGCACACTTCTTCATGATTGTGCATGCTCAGTGCACACTTTGCACATCCTTTGTGTGCGACTTTGCATTCTTGTGCATGGTTGTGCACATTATGCGTGGTTGTGCATGCTTTCTGCATGTTTTGTGCATTCTTTGTGCATGATTTTGCATCATTATGCATGGTTCTGCATGCTTGATGCATGCTTTGTGGGTCAGTGGGTCAACTGTGCACAATTTTGCACAATTGTGCATGAATGTACATGACTCTTCATGATTGTCCACAATTGTGCATGCTTGGTGCACACTCTGCACATCCTTTGTGCGTGGTTTTGCATGGTTGTGCATCGTTTTGCATCATTGTGTATAATTGTGCACACTTGGTGCACGATTTGCATGTCCTTTGTGCACAATTTTCATGGTTGTGCATGGTTGTGCAAGGTTGGTGCACGCTTTGCACATCCTTTGTACACAATTTTGCATGGCTGTACACGATTATGCACATCAGTTCATGGTTGTGCACAACTATGCATGCTTGGTGCACACTCCATGATTGTGAACAATTGTGCACGCTCCATTCACGCATCCTTTGCACATGATTGTGCACAGATGTGCATGCTATCTCTATGATTGCGCATCCTATTAACAGACTCTTTCTGCACAGCTCATGCATGGTTTTTGCACATTGTGCACATTTTTGTGCACGATTTTGCACAGTTCACGATTTTGCACAGTTCCACACACTTGTGCACACCTGATGCAAGCTTTCTGCACAGTTTTGCATTAGTGCACGCTTATGCATGCTTGTGCAAGCTGCGTGTTTGTTCTATGCACATTCATGCGTGGTTTTGCACACTTGCACACCTGGCTTTGCACACATCCACTCCCTTGGGATTAAAGGGGGTGAATCTGCACCCACAAGTGTCACACACTCACCCTCTCACACTGTGACACACTCACACTCCCCCTTGCACACTCACTCTCCATCCCTGCACTGGGAGCACCCGCTCATCCCCACAAATCATCCCTTAATGACCCTTTGGATTAATTAATCGCTACAGCCCTCAACCCCCCTGGGCCTCATGGCCCCAAATTCTGCTCTGTGCCACATTACTCCCAATTTGATCCCAAACCCCCCATTCTGTGCCTGCCTTTTCCCAAACCTGACCTCCAGTTCCATATCAGTGTCTCATTTTCCTCCATATTTCATCCCAAATCCCATCACTGAGCCTCAATTTCCCCAAATCTGACCCCAAACTCCACTCCCATCCTTCAGTTTCCTCAATCTAACCCCAAATCCCTCCTTTTTGCCTCAGTTTCCCCCGATTCTGACCCCAAATCAGCTTCCTGTGCCTCAGTTTCAGTTTCCCCAAATCCCCACTGCCGTGCCTCAGTTACCCCAAATTTCACCCCAAATCCCTCCTCTGTGCCTCAATTTCCCCAGTGGAACCCCAAAGCCCATTCCTGAGCCTCAGTTTTCCCCAATCTCACCCCAAATTCCTCCTCTATACCTCAGTTTTCCCAAACCCGATCCCAAATCCCACTCCCATGCCTCAGTTTCCCTAAACGTGACCCCAAATACTGCCTTTGTTCTGCTTCCCCCATTCAAACCCAAATCAGATTCCTGTGCCCCAGTTTCCCCAAACCCGATAGCAAATCTCACCTCCATGCCTCAATTTCCCCCAGTCTCAGCCCAAATCCTCCCTCTGTGCCTCACCTTCCTCCATTCTGACTCAGAATCCCACATCCGTGCCTCATTTTCCCCCAATTTCACCTGAAATCCTATTCCTGAATCCCATTATCCCCAAAGCTGACCCCAAACGCCGCTCCCATGCCTCATTTCCCCCTAATCTAACCCCAAATCCCCCCTCTGTGCCTCAGTTTACCCCAGTCTCTCCCCAAAACCCCCCAAAACAAAGCTTTGTGCCTCAGTTTCCCCAAATTTCAACTCTATGCCTCACTTTCCCCCATCTGACCCCAAATTCCAGCACTGTGCCTCAGTTTACCCCAATCTGACTCTGTTTCCCATTCCTGAGCCCCAGTTTCCCCAAACCTGATCCTAAATCCACCCTCCTTGCCTGTTTCCCCAAACTCAATCCCAAATTCCACTCCCGTGCCTCAGTTTCCCCCAGTCTCAGTCCAAATCCCATTTCTCAGCCCCATTTTCCCCAAATTTCACCCGAAATCCCCCTCTGACCCTCATTTACCCAATTCTGATCCTAAATCAGATTCCTGTGCCACATTTCCCCAATTCTGATCCCAAATCCCACCTCTGTGCCTCCTTTTCTCACAAATTTCACCCTAAATCCCACTCCTATTCCCCAGCTTCCCCAAACCTGATCCCAAATCCCACCCTGTGCTTCAATTTCCCCAAATCTGACCCCGTAGCCCAACTCTGTGCCTCAGTTTCCCCAAACCTGACCTCAAATCCCATATCCGTGCCTCACTTTCCCCAATTTCACCCAAATCCCAGTCCTGAGCCCCGGTTTCCCCAAATCTGACCCCGCTCCCATGCCTCAATTACCCCCATTCTAACCCCAGATCTCCCCTCTGTGCCTCGCTTTCCCCCATTCTGACCCCAAATTCCATCTCTGTTCCTCAGTTTCCCCAAAACGACTCCAAATCCCACTTCTTGCCACTTTTCCCATCTTTGTGCCTCAGTTTCCCCCAATCTCTACCCAAATCCTCCCCCCCCCGCCTCAGTTTCCCCATTCCCATCGTTTGTCCCAACGGTATTTGGGGGTTTCAGGGTGGGGGTCTCCGCCGTAGGGCCGTGGGGGGGGAGGTGGGGGTGGGGTTGGCATTGGGCCCCACGCCGCGGGGCGTCCCCACCCAATAGGGCCGAGCGCGTGGGAACGGGGCCGGAACCGGCTCGACCGGCTCGGGGGGGTCACCGCCTCAGCGCCGCCGCGAGTGGAGGAGGAGGAGGAGGAGGAGGGCCCGGGGGGGTCCCCGCGGGGTCCCCGTGGGGTGGTCACGCGGCTGTGCAGCACAGCCGGCCGGGTGGGCTGCGAGACCCCACGCGTGTCCGAGGGGCGGCGGTGGGGCAGGGAGGGACGGAGGGGCCTAAGAACCCCCCCAAAGCGTATCGTTGGTACCGCTCCGCGCTCACCTCCGCCGTGGGGTAGACATCGGGGGGGGCGGTCGCGGTGCCTCCCCACATCCACGCGTGTCCCCCCCCACAGAGGCTGCCCCGTTCCCACGCTGTCGGTCCACCCCCCCACACCTCCGCCCCGCGACCCCAATTGGGTCGTTCCCATCCCCCCACATCCACTCGCGTCCCTCCCCTCCCCCCCACCCCACGCCCCGCAGTGTCCCCTCGGTGCCACGCGTTCCCCGGTCCCACGGTGCCCCACGCCCCGCGACGACTGGGGACTTTTCACGGGGGGGACGCGCGCGGCCGTGGGGAACCACGGACACGGACACACGGGCACAGGTGATGCCACGTCCTGCAGCGTCCCCGTGCCCCACTCTCACAGTGTGTCCCCCACCCCCACGATGCGTTCGGACACGAGTGGCCGCGGGCACCCACGGATACGGACACGCAGACCCACGGACGCAGACGGAACCACGCCTCCCCGCGCCCCTCTCTCGCGGTGCCCCCCACCCACCTCGAGACACGCGGGGGAGACGCGCGTGGCCGCGGGGATTCGCACGGAGCCACGCGGACCCACGGACGCGCAGCACGGACCCACGCGCACAGGTGCGCAGCGCCGCAGGTGCACAATCGCCCCTCACGCGCTCGCACCCACGCGTGCCCCCCTCCCACGCGCGTTCCCCGCTCCCTCGCGTGTCCCACAGTCCCCGTTCCCCTGCTCTCCCGGTGCCGGTGTCGGTCCCGGTTTCTACTTACCGGTGACGAGGAGGAGTATGAGGAGGCTGAAGGCGGCCGCCCCGGGCCGCATCCCGCGTGGGGCCATGCGGACACGGCTGGGCTCAGGGCGCTGCTCGTATCCCGCTCAGCACCATATGGGCCGAACCGGGCCGCGGTGGGGGGGGCGGCGGCTCCGGGGCCGTGCGGCGGTACTGAGCCGCAGGGAACCGGGACGGGACGGTGGGGGCGTGGCTAAAGGGAGGGGGCGTGGTTTAAGGGGGTGTGGCCTCGGGGTGGGGCCGGGCGGGGCGGACCGGTCCGGCAGGTCCGGGCGGGGCGGGGTGAGGGCGCGGCCTTAAAAGGGCGATGGCGGCTGAGGGAGGGGTGGGGCCCACCTCGGGGATGCGGTCCGATTCTGTGCCCTATCCCTGGGGGTGGGGGGAGGTCCGGTGTCCCGCACGATGGTACCGAACGGTTTCCACGCAGCCCCGCTCCGGGATCCCGAACGCCATCCTCACGGGTTTTTCCCATACTTCGTCCCTGTAAGTTATCCCCATAGGTTATCCCCACAGGTTGTCCCTATAGGATGTTCCTATCGATTGTCCCTATAGGTTGTCCCTAAAGGTAATTTGTGTCCAGTACGCCCCAGTGTCTTCCCCTTGCTCCCCCCCTACCCCCCCCAAACAGGAGCCAGGCTGAAACTCCACAAAAGTCCCCTTTTCCACCCAAATCTTATAGGACACAGTACCAGACAGGCTGGGTGGGAACGGCAGTTTATTAGCACAGCAAAACTTGGGAGAGGGGTGGGAAAACGGGAGGAGGAGGCAAAGCGTTGGGCAGGGTCAGGCTGCAACTCAGTGCAGCAGTGACTGCACAACCACACTCCTGCGGGGCTTTTTCGGGGAGGAGGAGCAGGGTGGAGGTCCTGGAACCCCTCAGTTCCCCGTTTCGGAGCTCTCTGGGGACGACTGATCTTTAGCGGCGGCACAGAGATGGAAGAGCCCTGCGAGGGAGGGGGGGGTGAGTAGTTGGCACGGGGACTCTCCCCCGAGTGCCAACCCCACCCACGGGGGTCTTCAACAGAGAGCAGGCGCAGCTCAACGCAGTGACAACCCAGCAGAGCGCAGCTGAGACCCTACATAACTCATCACAGCACATCCCAGCACAGCCGAAACCACACAGAGCTCAGCGCAGTGGAGAACGTACACAATTCATTGCAGCAACAACACAGCACAGCTGAGACTGCACACAACTCATTGCAGCAGTGGCACAGCATGGCTGAGAACAGACACAACTCATCACAGCAGTGGTACAGCATGGCTGAGAATAGACTCAACTCATCACAGCAGTGGCACAGCTCAGCGCAGCTGGGACCACACGCAACTCATCACAACAGCGACATGGCACAGCTGAGACCCTGCACAGCTCAGCGCAGCAGTGACTCCCCCCACCCCTCCATACCTGCAGAGCCGATGAGGATGACGCCGACCCAACCCAGGATGTAGGACCAGGAGAAGCGCCAGGCGGTGCCCCGTGCTCCTGCCGTGCACATTGCCAGCCCCAGCAGTGCCAGAACACCTGCGAGGAGACAGCAAGCGCGGTGTGCAGCTCAGTGCTGCAGAGACCATGCAAAGCTCAGCACAGCAGTGACACAGCACAGCTGAGTGCAGCAGAGAACGGACACAGCTCAGTGCTGCAGAGACCGTGCAAAGCTCAGCGCAGCAGTGACGCAGCCCAGCTCAGTGCTGCAGAGAACGGACAGCTCACAGCAGCAGTGAGGCAGACACAGATCATTACAACAAAGAACAGACACAGCTCATGACAGCAGTGACAAAATGCAATGAATTGTGGCAGAGAACAACACAGTGCAGCAGTGACACAGCACAGCCAGAGCAGCAGAGAACGGACACAGCTCGGTGCAGCAGTGACACAGCACAGCCAGAGCAGCAGAGAACAGACACAGCTTGGTGCAGCAGTGACACAGCACAGCTGAGTGCAGCAGAGAACGGACACAGCTCAGTGCTGCAGAGACACAGCACAGCTTGGGGCAGCAGAGAACAGACACAGCTCAGTGCAGCAGTGACACAGCACAGCTCAGGGCAGCAGAGCAGCCACAGCTCATGGCAGCAGTGACGCAGACAGTTCACTGCAGCAGAGAATGGACAGCTCATCACAGCAGTGAGGCAGACACAGCTCATCGCAGCAGTGACACAGCCCCCGGTGGCAGCTCACCCCCCCTCGCCCCCCCCCCCCCCCCACGTACCACCCAGCAGCATGGTGATCCCAGCCGTGCGGGCACGCGCCCTCCATGCAGCACCACCGGTGGCCGACAGCCCCACGGCGAAACCAACAGCAGCAGCCAGCAAGGCCAGCAGCATCAGCGCCCGCGTGGCGTCCCAAATCACTGTGGGGGCAGAGAATGGGGACATGAGAACTGCACAGGGGCCGCACACAGCTCAGGGAGGCTGAGGCTGTGCGCAGCTTGTCGCAGCAGTGGCACGAGTCATGGAGGTGGAGATGATGCGCGTGTGGGAATGCAGAGATCAGGCACAGCTCGTGGCAGCAGTGACACAACACAGCACAGCTGAGACCACACACAGATCATCACAGCAAGGACCCAACCCAACATAGTGCAGCTGAGACTGCACACAAATAAATGCAGCACTGACAGAGCCCAACACAGCCGAGGCCGCACACAACTCATCACAGCAGTGATCCAACACAGCTCAGCACAGCAGTGGCTCAACACAATTCATCACAGCAGTGACTCAACGCAGTTCACCACAAAAGTGACCCAGCACAGCTCATCACAGCAGTGTCCCAACAGAACTCAGCACAGCAGTGACCCAGCACAACTCATCACAGCAGTGACCCAACACAGCACAGCGCAGCTGAGGCCGCGCACAGCTCGTGCCGTTGGCAGCGGTGCCATTCCGTACCGGGCGGACCGGGGGGCGTCCCGCAGTGCCCCCCCGCGGTGCAGAGCCGCCACAGTCCGATCGCGTCTCCTTGTCCCCGCGGGCTCAGCCAGAAGTCGGTGGCGGTGGCGGTGAGCAGCGCGCACAGCCCGCTGGCCGCGCACAGCAGCCCCCCCGCAGCCATCCGCCCCTGCGGGCGGCAGCGCGGCCACGGGGTCAACGGCCCCCCCAGAAACCATGGGGATGTGGGGGGGAGGGGGACGCGGGGATGGCGGTGTGGGGGACGGCTGGGGACGTTCCGAGGGTTCCGGGGGTGGGATGTGGAACGGGGGTTGGGAACGTATGGGGACAGCTCTGGGGATACGGGGACGCCCGGGGGGGGCATCGCAGTGGGGATATATGGGGACGTGTGGGGACATCTCCAAGGATAGGGGTACGTGGGGGTGTTCTCTGGAAGAGACATTGGGGACAACTATGGGGACAGCTGTGGGGACATGGGGGGCACTCGGGGGTGGCATTGCAGCGAGAACACGTGGGGACATCTCCAAGAATGGGAGCACACAGGGAAGGGACGCTGGGGACAAATCACAGCGACAGCTCTGGGGACATGGGGACACCCATGGGTGGGATCTGGAGGAGGGGGTGGGAAAATATGGGGACATCACTAGGGACATGGGGACATGTGGGGATGGCAACGCAATGGGGACATTTGGAGACATGTGGGAACATCTCTGGGCACATGGAGGGCACCCGGGGGTGGCACCGCAGTGGGGACGATGAGGACAACCGTGGGGACAGCGATGGGGCCGTGGGGACACACGCGGGCGGGACATGGGAGGAGCGTTGGGGACATTTGGGGACATCGCTGGGGATGGGGGTGGCGGGCAAGTGGGGTCACCAAAGTGGCACTATGGAGGGTGGGGGGAACAGAGGGGTCACTCACCTTCAGCGTCCGCTGGCAGAGTGTCCCTCTGTCCGTCTGTACCGCCGGGTGACACGGAGGGGACATCGGGCCCCGCGCACGTGGCGCTGCCATTGTGTGGGGCACAAAGCCGGGAAGGATCCGGGCGCTGACAGCGGCAAAGCTGCCCCCACCCGAGGGGACAATGAGGGAAGGGGGGGAAAGAAGGGGATGGGGATGGCACTGCGGTCCCCCCCCATAGCATGGGGACACCACTGCCATGGGGGGGAAGGAGGTGGCACACGGGGGGCACGGGGACACACGGAGAGATGACACTGGGGACACAGATAAGCACGCTCACATGTGCACACTCATGGGCACACACACACACACGCGTACATCCATGCCTACACGCTCACATCTTCACACACACCTACACAGATCCGTGTGCACACGTGTGTTTATCCACGCACTCACACACGTGTGCACGCTCACACATACATACACACACAGGCACACATATGCACATATGTGTGCACACCGGTGCATGCACATATGCACATGTGTGCACACTTGTGCACATTCACACGCAAACGCACTCATCACACACACAGGATGAGGGTGGGGGGCAGGAGGAGGAGGAGGAGCAGGGGAGGGATGAGGCTGAGGGCAGCACCTGTGGAGGCCCCTGAGCAGGGGGGGCTGCAGGGGGCACCTGTGGGGGACATGGGGGGCACTCAGCACCTGCCTACGTCCCCATAGACCCCACAGTGCCGTCAGGGGGCCCTGTGTCCCCAAGGCCCCATAGAGCCAACACTGGGGTGTGGGACCCCCACTCCATAGATCTGACACCACCATGAGGGGCTCCCACCCCCCCAACCCCACTGACCCAACACTGGGGTGAGGGGTTCCCGTGATCCCATATCCCAGTGCTGTGGTGAAGGGCCCCCAACCCCATAGACCTGACTCCACAGTGTGGGGCTCCCACATCCCCATAGACTCAACATTGGGGTAGGGGGGCTCCCATGGTCCCAATGGCGGAATAGAGGACCCCCATCACTCCAACCCCACAGACTCAATCCCATAGTGAGGGGGATCTCATCACCCCAAACCCATAGACACAACACTGGGGTGAGGGGCTTGCATGATCCCATGTCCGTATATACCACGTGTTAGGATGAAGAGCCCCACCCCATAGACCTGACTCCACAGGGCAGGGCTTCCATGTCCCTGTAGACACAATAGTGGGGTGAAGGGCTCCAACCCCATAGACCTGACCCCATAGCATCGGGCTCCTGTGATCCCATATCCCCATAGGCCCAATGTTGGGGTTCAGGGCCCCAACCCCCAAAACCCCACAGACCCAAACCCACAGTAAGGAGTCCCCACCATAGATCTGACTCCATAGTGAGGGATTCCCATGATCCCATGTCTCCATAGACCCAATGTTGAGATGAAGAGCCCCCACCCCATAGATCTGACACCTCCATGAGGGGCTCCCACCACCCCAACCCCATAGACCCAACACTGGGGTGAGGGGTTCCTGTTCTGCTCTAACCCCATAGACCCCATGTTGGGGTGAAGGGCACCGATCCCCTCAACCCCACAGACTCTATACCACAGTGGGGGGATCCCACGGTCCCACTGATACAATACTGGGACAAAAGGCCCTCCCACAACTCCCCACCTCCACACCACACCATAGACCCCAATTTTGGGATCAAGGGCCCCCACCTCATAGACCCAACCGCACAGTGCACAGCTCCCATGTCCCCACGGACCCAACATTGGGATGAGGGCCCTCGCACCCCCCCAGCCCCACAGCGACGTGTCCCCCCCTCCTCTCACCCCACAGCTGCAGTGTCACCCCCCCGCAGGCGCAGTCATCACTCCCCAGCAGCACGCAGCTGTAGGTGCCCCCATCCCCGTCCTGCAGCCCCCACAGCAGCAGGGTCCCCTCGGGACCCCCCAGCCTGGCCCGGCCCCGATATGTGGGGCTGCAGCTGGGGGGGGACACGCGGTTCTGGCTGCACACCGGGACCCCCCCGAAGTGCCACTGCACGGCCAGGAGTGGGCCCAGGTGGATGTCCCCATAGGGACACTGAAGGGTGACAGAGGTCCCCAAAGTGCCGTTGGTTTCCACGTGGCCTTGGTGGGGGCTCCGGCACGCGCTGCAGCCCCCCCCCGACTCGGTGAGGACACCTGGGGACAATGGGGACTGTCACCGCCATGGACACCCCTACTGGGATTGTCACCTTTGTCACCAACCCCCATAAGGAGACGCAGTGGGGTGCAACGGGGCATTGTCACCCACCGTAGGGGGGAGGACACAATGGGACATATCCCCACGTCCCTTCCATATCCTCCCATGCCCCCCATGTCCCCACACGTCCCCCATATCCCTCCAAGTCCATCCATGTCCACCCCATATTCTCCCATGCCCTCCCATATCCCCTCATCCCCCATATCTCCTCATCTCCCATGTCCCCCCCATTTCCCCTCACATCTCCCCCCCCATGGCCCCTCCCATATCCCCCTATGCCCCTCTGTAACTCCCATATCCTCCCCACATTCTCCCATGCTCTCCCATGCCCCCCCACCCCCTCCCCATTTCCCCCCAAGACCCCCACATCCCTCCACGTCCCCTCAAGCCCCTCCCGTGTTGTGGCCCCCCCAGGACCCACCGGGCGGTTGTAGGGCCGGGCTCAGCCCGAGGGGCAGCAGCAGCAGCGCCCACATCGCGGGCCGCTCCGGGGAGGGGGGGGGGCGGGGACGGGGGGGACGGCATCGGCCGGGGGGGTTGGGGGTGGGGGGGCAGAGCCCGGACGGGGCGGGGTGGGAAATAGGGCCGGAGGGGGGGAATGGAAGGGCCAGGGCGTGGGGGGCACAGAGGGACTTCAAGTGGGGTCGTCCCCTCCCCCCCCCGAGGCCGTGCAGTGGTGGGGGGGTTGGATACCCGGGGACCTGGGGACAATTGGGACCCCAGGGACAGACCCCGACGTGGGGACAAATCCCGATCCCGGGCGGCATTCCCAGAGCGGGGGACAGAGAGCGACGTGGGCACAAATCTGAGCCAGGGGACAAACATCGACGTGGGGGCAGATCGCGACATGGGGACAGACCGCGACATAGGGACCTTCCCTGAGGTGGAGAAAAATCCGACCCAGGGGACAAACGACAAACTCGGTCATGGGAACCGACCCCGACATTCTCTGATTAGGGTCCGACCCCGACATGGGGACATTCCCTGAAACGGGGACCGATCGCGACATGAGGATGAACTCCCGACATTGGGACAAACCCCGACATTCCCCGATGTGGGGACCGACCCCGACGCGGGGACATTCCCGCAGCGGATGCTGTCGTGCCGTGTCGTGTTCCGCCCCCCCTCCCCGATGACGTGGCGGCTCCCGGCCCTTTATTTGCTCCCCGCGGCCCCAAACAAACTCCCGTTGCTCAGCACCGCTCCCCGCCTCGGTGTCCCCTCCCTGTCCCCAGAGCC